ATGTCGGCAGTTTACCAATGGACCCATGGACCGCACCACAAAAGATGTTAATTAAGAAGCCAAAGTTAATCGATTTGCGGGCCAGCATGTTGATGGCTCTTGTGGCCGGTCTTAATGTTTGTTTTTGTGGGGTTTCGGGCGTAGGTTTCGTGGCCGATTGCATTGACTTAACTTGGCCTGGCCAACAGATTCCATATTTTCCCGGCAACGGATCGCGGCTTATCGTAGTCAAAGCAAAATTCTACTGCAGCATTGCTTTGAGCCAAGCTTTGCTTATAACGCAAAAAAAGGAGAAAGAAATACAACACATACTATGTTCATGCGAAGGCCAAATCACGCATTCGGCCAATTCGTGAATTTGGCAAAACACGAAAGTTGACTTTGGTATCAGCCTCAAAGCATGATTTTGTGTGTATTCTATTTTAACTTTTGCACGAGTGTAATTGCATTTTTCCAATCTTTTTGTTAAGTAATAATTATTATTATTGAAGAAATTAGTCACACCTATTTTTAACAGTCCGTCTTCTCTATCAGCTTTAGGTAAGTTTATTCTATATCGCGCTTTCAAAAAATCATGATTACCGTCGCATAACCACAGTAACAGATGCATCTATCTATCTATCTATCCAACCAGCTGTCCAGTGAAACAAAAACTAAAACTGAAAGCACACAAATGACCAGCAGATAGATGGAGCATTTTCCCTTTGGCCTTTACAATTGTTGCAATGCAACCGAGATTGCAGAATAGAACAACAAAAAAGAAGAAAAAACAGAATTAAAAACATTTCTAGCAGTTACAGTTGCTGCCACCGGAAATTCACTAATTCAAAGATGGAGTCCGTTGCTGCAAACTTTAACTTGCACTGCTTCCGTTTCCCCAGCTACACTTTACCAGCTACACTTTTCCGCCTCCTCAGCCATTTTTTGGGGGTTAAGGAGCAGGACCTCCAGCCCCTCCTCCTTATAGCTGGATTTTCCTTTTCCTTTCGAGCGATTGCTGTGCCATTTCTTTCGTGCTACTTGGGGAGCTTTTAATGTTTTATGCCTGATTGAGTTCTGCTTTCGGGTTTTTGTGCAGACTTTTGTTCTGTTTGCCTTCGCTCGCTGGACATTTCTATGAGATTTCCGCCTTTGTGGCTTATGTTTTGAGCATTTTTGTTATTAAACTTACAGCCACTTCAACTGGCTTTGTGCTCCCGGCCGTTGCTAAGTAATGAGATCGATTCTCTTTATTTTCCATTATTTATCCCCGCCTCGGCCCCTCATCCCTTTGTTTTCCATTCCCTCGCCCACTTTTTAATTGTTGTTTTCTGGGCTTGATGAATTGGAATTCATAGAAGGTTGGCGTTGGCTATGGCTTTGGTTTGTTTGCGCCATAACGCTCATTGATTTCGTACATTTTCGCCCGCGAGAAAACAACGATTTGAAAGGGATATCCAGCTTGAAATGGTAGTTCTTTATTTCTTATTTGGGTGTGGGAAAATGGGTTCGCCGACCCTAAAAGCTATCAGTTTTTTGCCTGCGGTTGTACTTATCAAACTATTCAATTAAATTACATTTACACATGTTAACCATCAGATATGACTTACAAAATGATAACTGATAAAGAGAACTTATAATGTAAGAAACCAAAATGAAACTGATAATTATGTTCCTTTTGAAAATTGGTATCAATTTTGACTTAATATGCGGCATCTCAATTTAATATGTTTGAAATGTAAACAGCATATCCTAAGTTTACCAGTTTTGAAATCGGCAAAATGATATTATTTAATATAAATTTTACCAGTATTTCTTGGTGATCAAGGCTATTTTCAATTAGATTTGACTGACAGGTCTTTAAATTAATTGATACTTGCATCCTTCATGATGAATATGAAAGATGATTTACCATTCCGATTTAATTTATCCTTGTTATGTCAAGGATTAGGCCATTGTTTTAGTCGGACACCGAAAGCCTTAGGGGCTCAACATTCCCGTTTCAAGTCCACGTTGCATGTGAACATGTCGTGTACTCAATTAGTCATTACATTAGTCGGCTGCTATGTATCTAATTGATGTATTTGCCCGCCAACGTTTTGTTTTAGTCCAGTTTCAGGCTCGACTTCCTTTTGAAAAACACCCCAACTACCACCACCACCCTGGTTTATTCATTGTGCCGGACTAAATAAATAAAGCAATTTGTAACTGAGTCACGTAAATTGTAATCTGGCAAATAAATTGATTTGTTTGTTAAAATCGCTGCAAGCCAGCACGAAGAACCAACTGTACCGACTGTCAGGCAGTCGCTTTGATGGAACAGGAACCGTAGCATCCTCGCTGTACCATCTACCATGTACCATCTAGCCATCCCACCTTTCACCTTTGCAACTATCTGAAAAATATCGATATCCATTACGGACTTGCCGTCACAGCCTGTATTGTTTTGCCGCTTTGCTTAAACAGGTCATGGCAAAGAAACTGGAAAGGGGGACGGTAGGATCCTACAGGATCCCAGGGAAACCGAAAAGAAAAACAAACCACACAAAGCTCAATGGGGCTTTGTTTGTTCCAGGATGAGAGCAGGTCCTGAAGCTGCCAGAGGCATGTTTTTCCTGTCCTCTTACCAAACCAAAGCAGAATGGAATTGTATGCCTTTCGACACCTGAGACACTTTGGCATGTGACTAGGCCAAAGCCGAAATGGTGTCTAAATTATTAACCGGATTGCAATGCAATTAATATAATTTATGACTGTTAATTTGTTGCATACCGTTTACAGGCGTTTATCGTATTATTACTGCTCATGTTACTTACTTTAACTTGTGGCTGCTGCATTACGAAGGTAAATAATTCAATGCAAAATGCCTGGGCCGAGCAAATATTTGCCTATCTGATGGTTGAGACAGCCGAAAATTAAATTTATCTCGAGGAATTTGATTTTAATATTAAACAGGTCTGAGGTCTGAGTCAGGATGCCAGAGGATGGTAGACCCCCAGACCCATGCACTCATACAAAATCCCGGAGACATATGCAAAAGCGGTCTGCCAGGTTGGCAAATCCGAATCCAAAATCCCAACTATTTATACCCCTTACTCGTAGGGTATGTTGTATTCGTGGGAAATGATGTATATTAATTATATATATGCTTGATCAGGATCACTAGCCTAGTCGATCTATCCGCCTGTCCGTCTGTCTGTCCGTCCGTATATGCGCTAAAATTTCGAAAAATTCAAATCGGACATTTATTTAAAAGTTACGACCAAATAATGGAAATTAAGCAGTGCAAGCAGTCGCTTTGTTGCATGCATATCTCCATCTCCATTGCATTTCTTTCATCTGAGTAACAGGTATCCGATAGTCGAGGCACTCAACTATAGCGTTCTCTCTTATTTAGCTTACTTTCCGAAGCGAACTTTTCGGTTTTGCACTGAACCGTCTGTCTGCCTGCGGCTTGGACTCTGATTTACAAGCGTAAAATAGCAGTGGCATAAAATATTTAACTATTTTGTATCGACCGTCTGTGAACCTCCTGTTTCCTGTGTAACCTCCGTCTGTGGATTTTGGAGTTCAGTTTGGCTGTTCGGCTGCCAGTTTGTTTTTGCGGCTGCTCTGAAGAGGCTTCATTTTTGCGGGGTCGGTGGTTTATTTTTTATTCGCAACATTCTGCTCTAATCCATCCCCTAGTCTGCGCCTGAGGGCGGTTTATTTTCATATTTAATGACTTGTTATTGTTGGCACTATTGAAATATTTGCCATTTAAAGCCACAACACCAACATATATAATTGCTTAAATATCCGCACGTTAACAAAGCCGAGCAAAAAAGCGCCCCTCTTCTGTCCGACGCATTTATTAAATTTTCATTAAAATTTATAGTTGCCTCACTGTGGCCTGGGCGCCCATAAATCAGCAAATTAATATTAGGTTGTGGCCATGCCGACGGAAGGTCGGCTGGCCATTGTGCCTAACACGTGGATAAGCATAATTCATGTTCGCCAATGGGTGGGGCATTCTCATCCTACTTCTCCTTCTCCGCCCTGTAAAATTTGTGACACATTCGAAAATATTTCGTCCAAATATGCGGTAGCCTGGCATGTGACAAATTGAATGTGCAGCATTTGTCCCCCTCTTCCGTTTATTCCCTTTAAAGTCGAGAGTGCACTTTAAGGATGGGCATAGCTTCTCATCCATTAGGGCCTTTCTGCTATCGGTATCGGTTTGGTCATGGCTGCCGGCTGGCTTTTGGTGCGGGGTCCTTCGTCCTTCGTCCAGAGACTCGATGCTCTGCACTCTGTACTCTGGCTGCCATGTAACGTGCAAATAACAAATAAATGGCCAACTAAAACCAACATCAATCAGGTCATGTTTATGCGGGCGTGCTGCGACGGGTTTGCCCGATTCCCTGACTCGCAGCAGTGATGCACTTCAAAGTGGCCATCAGTTTGCTTGACGTTGCCGCAGAAGGCAGGCATTTAATGCAACGATTTTCAGTTAATGATGTAAAGATAATAACTACCACTAGCCAAAATAATCACGTTTTTAAAAGGAACCCGAGTGTTAATCTTTAACGTTTATCCCACATTTATATATACGACATTCGTTTAGATAATAACGAGCTTTAAACTAATTAATTCTTAGAACCTTGACAGTACATTATATTTTTCTTGTATGTGTATTGTTAAACGTGATTCATATTAGTAAAACTAGAAAGATTATCTTATCTTATTAGACAGTAATTAAACACAGTTTTTACACTAATTTCGTTTTGTACGGCTCATGCTTTAATCCATTTGAGCTTACAAGATTTTATAATTCATTATCTAGTTCGTATACCTGCTACTCGAAAAGTAAACGGGTTAAATTTGTTTGCAGAAATTTAATTCATTATTAAACACAGTAATTCTCTTTTATTGTGGCAGGTGTGGATCATGAGTCCGTTATCTAGATAATCAGTTAGACAATTTTCTCCAGACTATTTTGCACTTATCCTCAGTTTAACTGTTCAGCTTTCACTTCAAAGATGTATTTTTTGGTCTCCAGGACTTTAGTTTACCTACGAAGATTGCTAAGGCTACCACAAGTACAAGCAGTAGTAGGAAATATTGTAACTGTTGGAAGAGCTATAGTAACTGGGCTAGGAACACTGTTGTTCTTTTGGATTCAAAATAATAACGATGATATATCGTTTTGTCAACTATCGCGTGCTAATACAATGACAGATCGAATATTTTCCCTAAGCGTAGGCAACCGCTATGAACTTTTGCTTAGGGATCGCTTACACGTCTGTGAGAATATGTTTTTGCTTTGCGATGGAGGCGATACTGTGTTCAAAACTACTTGTCAGCGGGACGGTACATTTCATCCCCCCCTCCCCACGAGCAACTGTAGAGTTCCTCTGAAGCCATCTATTCAGCAAATCGTAGATTCAAGCTGTGAACACACTATGATCCGGGTGGGATTTAGGTTTGGTTCTACGTTTATGGAGCTCTATCGAAACTGCTACGACATTAAAACTGCAACTGCACATTTCTCCATCAATAAGGTTTACCCCATCTATATGAGTAAGTTGATATAGTCAGATGCAGTTTATTATTATTATTCAATCCCTTGTCGCTAAAACTCCAGGCTCTGATCGACCGCTGACGGGTTTCGACCGCGATAATATCATTTCTGCTGCGGATGCGGATTCCTTTCAGAATAAAAATATCTACCAGCGGTTTAAGGCACTTTTGGGACCTAGGCAGCCCTATATAGCTTCTATAAAAAGTAGCTCCTTCGACCGAGGACATCTGACACCCGTTGGCGACTACTTCTTCCCTAGGATCATGAAGCAGACAAACAAGTATATAAACGTTGTTCCTCAATACTACAGCATAAACCGCGGAAACTGGAAGACTGTCGAAACTTGGATTCGTAAAACTGTCAAAGAAGTACAAGATGATGTTCTAAATGTCTGCACCGGTGCATTGGGTGTATTGGAGTTAAGTAACAACAATCAACAACCTACTCAGATTTACCTGGTGCCATCCAAAATTCGGGTTCCCAGGTGGACATACAAAATAATTCGTAGTGACACCACCTATAGGAAGTATGTGATTTTAACATCCAACAATGGATGGGAAACTTATAGGCCAAATTCCTCATCGGTTTGCCAAGAGGTCGCCTGTCCCTTATCTTTATATACAACAGCTACAGGATACACCTTTTGCTGTGATCCAACCGAATTTATCAGGAGAAATGTTCCTAAGTTGGCGGGTGTTTGTTGAGATCCTAAATTTAAGATATTTTCTTCTTTTTGTTTAATTTATTAAATTGTATTTTCGGTTACGTAAATGGCATTTTTCCCCACGCAGTTTTGCAGTTTACTTATATAAAATTACTATTAAAAGTACCTTGAGTGAACTTGGAATTCTCAGAGAGAGAGGAAGAAGAAAAGATAAGATAATATAAGAAAAAAGCAGGCCATAAATATTAAAGTGCAATAAACACATACTGTCCTGTTTTGAAAATGATTTCAGTTCAAAGAGGATTTAATAAGTTATATGTTATCCAATCTATTCGATCATTGCTGATCTTGGCTGACATAATCCTCCCTTTCAACAAATACAACAAATATTCCAACATTTGTAATAAAATTGCAAAAAGTAAAAATAAAAAAATGCAGTAAAAATCTACCCGAAAGTGATAATGATCGTTTGCTTACCTTCCGACCTTTTAGCCGAGGCACCTAATGCGTAAATCATTAATCATAATTTCACTTAAAAAAAAAAACAAATCCATAAATATAAAATGCCGCGACGAGCTTACTGAAGAATATTGAGATAAGGAAATGTAGTCTAATTGATGCTGATTAAGAATACGTATATATTTGCCCAAGTAAAAAAACGTCTCCACTTATTGCGATTATTGCTTAGTTCTCTCCGGGAGCCTGAGCTGTGAAGATGCACGATCTGAAATATTTCGGTGTTTTCCTGAGTTTCTTTGTCTGTGAGTACATTGAGTGTTTGTTTATCGTCAGAAATTAATCCGACTTTCAGTTGTAGGAAATGTCAGCTCTAGTTGTCTTATTCCTAAGAATTTGTTGGCGTCCAAAAATATATATTTAACCCACAATAATGGGATCTTCGGTATTCAATTCAGTGACATAGTGGCTAATGGCCACACGATCTACTTGCTTTGCAATGGAGGAGTTCAACCTACTGGATTCCTGTGTCAGTCTAACAATGTTTTCAATCCATCTCTAAACTCGGCTATATGCTCAGCACCTTTTGAACCAACTGTTGTGGGCGTTAGAAAAAAAGATGCCTCCTGCCCCAATTCTTATCACTTGTACAAGGTGGGTTTCTACGTCCAAAGAACATTTATGGAACTGTATAGGAACTGTTTTGATGGTAATACATTAGCATTCCAAAATTCCATCTATAAGGTCTACCGCCACGAAAATAGTAAGTTTAAAGTATTTGATAGCCTTCATTTTTTTTAAAACCCATTATTTTTTAGCTGCTCCACGTCCCACTCCTCCGTGGAACGCGGATGGACTAAGTGGAGGATTTGATAATGCCTACGAGGGAAGAGCAACTCAAGCCTGCTTGCTTACCAACCTGGGTGCAACACAACCGCAGTGTAAATTTGATCGTGGCCACATGACACCAGCTTCTGCCTTCATGTTCACAGAGCTTAAGAAAACCACCTTTAAGTATTTAAATGCGATCCCTCAATATCGGGGAGTTAATCGTGGCAACTGGAAGACCGTCGAAACTTGGGTTAACAATGTGGTGAAGGGACACTTTGATAATCCAGTCATCAACAACGTACAAATTCGTCGAACTTACGATGTCCTCAAAGTTTGCATTGGAGCACTGGGAGTGCATAGGCTGAAACACAATAATAATAACAATATGATATCTATTTTCCTTTTGGACAATAACAAAATTCCCGTTCCCGAATGGATGTACAAGATAGTCAGCCATCTTTCTGGAGATAAATGGGTGATGTTAACCTACAATGACGTAAATCTACCCAATCAGCAAGGCATAAATCAGATCTGCCAGCCGATCGATTGTCATCCAGGTCTCCACTTGAGTCCGAGGGATGTGGGATATACTGTGTGCTGCGAGCCATACAATTTCATTAGAAGAAACGTTCCTCATTTGACTGGTGTTTGTTAAAGCCACTTATTTTGAAAATAATGTTACTAAATATAAAAATGAAAACAAAAAATAAATTTAAAAAAAAAGGAGAAAAAAATAAACTAAAAAGTGTTAAGTAAGACTAATGTGTTAGTTATCCTTTTTTCTATACCGAAGTTTTGGTTTTTTCCTGGTGAAGAGAGTTTTTGGAACATTTTAAAAAAAAAATTTTTTTTTTTATTTTTTTTTAAGGGTTTTATTTATTTTTTTTTATAACATGGGTTAAAGCATCGATTGTCATAATTATAAGAAAAAACTTAGAAAGTATACATTTTTATATTATTTTTTATGAAATTTTATTTTTAAAATAATTTTGATTTATAAAAAAGTATGTTTGGAAATCGAAAAAAAAATATTGTTTACTTTTCTAGGAACGCTTATCAGTAGACATAGTATTATTATAAGTTATCAGTAATGACCTGCGAAGCGTCGTGTGAAAAGTCGGAATTCCCATAATTGAAGAGATAAGAATAAAGCCGGTAATCAATGCATCAGAGCAATGACCATAATGCATTAAGCAGGATTGATAAGTTATCCAAACTATCTGTGCATGACTCCGAGCTAAAATTTCAGAGAGTGAAATGGTTGGTAGAAACCCTAAAGATCCTAACCTAACCCAATCAGTAATCACTGACGTTTTAAAGTTCCTTGAGCAATTTTGGGAATTTCACAGCTGGAGAGATAAGAAAATAATAGACAAACTAGAAATGTTAGTCCCAAGAGTATGCTTTAAAAACATGACAAATGGCAAATATATGTAAACAAATAAAGAGGTAACCGTAAAGTCTTACTTTTGAGCAAGACAATTCTTAGAATTTTTCGATTGCATTGAACCTTACGAGGTGCTCATAATAAATTGATTAAATACTTCATTAAAGAACGCTCTCTTAACAGATAAGATATAAACAAAGGATGTGTATTTTATTGAGGGTGTTGATTCAGTTGCTTATTTTATCAGTCAGAGGTTTCTTTCTATCCAGTTTTTCTGCGATCATCAGTTGTACTTTCAAGCTCATACTGTGAAGATGCACGAGTTACGATTGCTAATTATTACACTGTGCCTGTTTCTAAGTTGGTACAAGCTTTTCACTAAATATGCAAATAATGTAAAATATCCTTTTTTTTAGGTTTGGGACAAGTCCAGCCTTTTTGTCAGCTCGGTGAGAATTATATATGGACCAATCACATATTTGCACACGTCGTTAACAACCGCTATGAATTACTACCCGCGGATCGGTTTCCATATAATCAGCAAATAAAGCTGCTATGCGGTGGCAATGCACCTGTCTTTTCAACCACTTGCCAGACAAACGGTCTATTTAATCCGCCTCTACCGACATTAAACTGTTCAAAGGAAATTAAATCATCTATTGAGACCGTAGCAAGAGATCCCACTTGTGCTTTTACCCTATATAAAGTGGGTTTTTCGTTTGAAAATACCTTTTTGGAGGTCTATCGAAGCTGCTATGACGCAAAAACAATGACGGCATTATTCTCCATTCACAAGGTCTATCCCACCCATTTGAGTAAGTTTTAAAAGTATTTTACATAATGATTTTGATATATTTATCCCTACAAATTCAGCATCTTATCGAAGGCAATCTTGGGACCGCGATAACCTCATTTCACCTGCAGATGAGGCCTTGTTTACTAAAGAAAAAATCTATGAAAGGTTTAAGACACTTTTGGGAACAGGACAGACGTATATATCTTCCAAATCAACAGATTCCTTCGATCGGGGTCATCTAACTCCATCAGCGGACTATACCTTTTATAAGGTTCTGGGTCTAACCAACAAGTATTTAAACGTCATCGCCCAATCGTCCAGCATTAATCGGGGTAGATGGGCGCAAATAGAAAAATGGGTTCGTGATCAGGTGTCTAACGGACAATATGATGTTCTGAAAGTCTGCACCGGTGGATTGGAAGTTCTTGAACTGAATGACACGCATCAAAATCCAATTCAAATTTACCTAGGACCTGGAAAACTTCCAGTTCCCAAGTGGACTTACAAAATCGTTAGCCATGCTTCTGGACACAATGTGGTGATCTTGATGACCAACAATGGATGGGAAAATAATGCATTGAACCCAGCATCTGTCTGTAGAAGAGTAAGCTGCCCCCAAGGGATAAATACAGCTGGAAACACTTTCTGCTGCGACCATTTCGACTTTATCGCAAGGAATGTCCCTTGGTTGACAGGGGTTTGCTAACAACACACGGACTTATACAAATATTAATTACAAATTACTCACTTCATAAAGCTTAATAAAAGGTCTACTTTTTTTTTAAATTTTTGAATTAATGCGCCATACTTGATGGTTTTTCACCACGAGCAATAAATAACAATGCTATAAATCAGTGTTCTATAAATCAGTTAACCATAAACTATGGTACACTTTGTAATTCCAATATGATACACATAGATGTCGCCCACGTGCCACTTCATATTCTCTATAGGGGGCGCCAACACAAGAGCGAATGAATACGCAATATAGGCAAAGAGAGACAAATATATGCTCAAGTGCGCGCTTTTCAAAAAAGGGAAATTTATGTATTTATTTTTTATTATGTATGAGATTTATTAAAAAACTTAAACGGTCTATAAATAATGTTAAAAATAAAAAAATAAAAGTCGTAAGTTCTTATTTTGTTACACTAAAAAAGTGTATTATCTTTTGTAAATAAACAATGAAGATTTTCATTTTTTTTTAATTGAGTAGTAAAAGTTTTGACAATTTTGTATCTGCAAACAAAATTAATGAAATTACTATTCAGTCTATTATTATTATTCGCACTTCATTTACACTTTCAAACCATTTGAATTTGCGGACAAATAAGCACATTAAATTGCCATTTAAGTGGCTGTAAAATTCCACTTCCGATTGGAGACCAACTACCACATTTGTTGTTGCTTTTGGCCAATTTACTTATTGGCTTACTCTACATACTTCACCGGTGGCCGTTGACCATGTTTGAAATTTGCGCACACGCATTTTAGCCTGTTTCTGTTGCAAATTTTATGCAGCTAATTTCATGCTCTTGGAAAAGCGATTTTCCCCCTGGATCTATGTTTTCCCGACTTCCGTCAAGGCGGCTCTGCCAAGCCGGTCGTCAAGTCGAGTCGAGACTTATGTAACGTTTGCAAATTGCAGTTTTACTTCTTCGGCGGTTTGGTATTTGTTCGCCACAGCCAACTCGTTGCTCATACGCCGTGTGTACGGCTGGTAGTCTGGTGTCGGCTCTTTGGGCATTGTGCAACTTGTGACACAAATTCTTTGGCGCAGTCGGTGGTTTTGTAATTTTGGTTATTTACCCGGCAAGCCACTGGTCGCCGCCTTTATTGAATCACCGGGCAGCGAGCATCGAGCCACTCTCGTAATTATCAAATGCAGTTTTATCCATTTACAGCCGACAGTGGCGGCGGCGAACCGAAATTCGAATTCAAAACCGCCAACGAAACGATATCAAAAGGCAGGCAAAGTAAAGTGTGCTTTAAACTTTCTTTTTATGCGCCACTTTTAGCCTCCATTTCTTTGGCCAAACATTCGTAGTTGTCTCGATTCGTTTCTTCGTTTGTCAGTCTTTTTTAGCGGCCGCTTCATTGATTTTCATTTACGCTGCCGCCGCAGTAATTGTTGCAATTTAACGACGCCCGCCGATGAGGTAACCCATCCTCCCATTTTTTGCGGCGAGTGAAAGAGCAAGTTTTTCTGTTTTTCTGTTTTGATTTTTATTTTTGTGGCTAAGAGAGTCCGAGACACTCGCATTTGCATTTTGGGAAATGCGACGACTACGACAGTTTGTCCACCATTTGCATACCAATTCGGCCTATTGATACCGTGAGACTTAAATATAAATATTTAGATAAGCTTTTATATTTAAGTCCCGGCTATTTGGTTTCTGCTGCAATTTGCGCAATATTTACCACCAAAGACTTTCACTGACCCCTTGGAACTAGCCGGAAACTGGAAAACCTGGAAACTGACCTGCGATCAGGGAAATTGCCTTGTTTTGACTTTGTTTTGATGCATTTGATTGGTTTTAAGCGCCCGCCTAATGCAGCGTGAAATTCGATTGTTATTTTAAATGAAGATCTCAAGTCCAAGCGGTTTTCTAATTTGATCTCTGTCACGTTGACGTGTGAAATGTGTGAATTATACAAGTCGTATGCAGAGAAGTTTTCACCGAATCGCTTTAGTTTCGCTTTTTATTAGCGCTACTAATTAAATTTCGTTTTATGCGCTGTAGTACAACATTATTATATATATTTTTATGGCCATAAAGATACCTTTCCGTTGACGGGTAAACGACCAGGTCCATGATAATCGTCTTTAAAGTTCATCACTCTGCTGTGCAGTTCATACTTGGTTTTGGGGCGCGTAACGCGACAGTAAGAGGTGGTTATTGGGGACCGAAAAAAGACGCTTAGGGGGACTCTTAACGGTATCGTGTAATGCCTTAATTAAGCCGCACAAAAATGCCGTGAAAAATGGTTAAATGAAGCCCAGTGGGCGTAGCCGTGGCTACCTAAAAATATGCTTTTCATAAGGCTATAATTAAGCTTATTAGTAGGAGATTTTCTAAGATTTGTTGATTAATGTTTTGGAAAAATTTCAAGTAGGAAGTGGGTAATATGGTTAGATAAGATACTCTAGAAAATAAACTAAAAATAAAAGAAATATCCGTTATAATTAATTTGATGTATACTAAATTTAATTTATATATTTTAATTGCATTTATCTAATTATATCTCTCTTATAATTGCTCAGATTTACATTCCCTCAGCAAGTTCGTTGGCTTGGTGTGTTCGATTTTGGCCCCCTGTGCATGACTAAAAAACCATGCATGCTTGTCTATAGGAAAAAACTATATCAATACCGAATAAAATACAATCTCTCTCGCTCACGATCGTCGGTTCATACGAGCTCATTCGAACAGCTCTCTCGTTTTGCAGCTTTTGTCGCATTTCGGCAGCTCTTGCGCTTGATGCGCGCGTCTTGAGGTTTCAGCTTTTCAGTTTCGTTCACAACTTCGTCGCGTTAGGCAGCAGCAATAATCAGCAGCAGCTACAAGACTATAAATACAAAAAACGCTATCACTTTGTGCTCTCTTATTACGTGTACCTTATTAAAAGGCAAAAAAAGAAGAGTTTAGTTATAAATCAAATTACGTGTTTCACCTGCGCGCTCTTTTTGTCGCCGCGCCCTCGCATTTTGTCGTTCGTTCATTCGTTTGTACCACGTTTTGGGCCGAAAAACCAGAAAACAGCTGTTTGCACGACAAAGCTAAAAGGCAAGAAAACACTTGATCGCTCGCCCGCTCGCTCGCGCCTAATATGAAGTCTTAGTTCGCTGCCTAAGTCTTTTGTTTTTGAGTGCGGAGGCGCACGCGAATTTCTGTGTGAGAAACTGAAACTGAATCCGAAGCTGAGTGTGCAGAAACAAATCGAAATAAACAAGACTATTTACTGGCATCTGCGGCAGACAAACCAGTTGTGCAACTGCTCTTCGCATAATCCATTGAACCATTGACCAGTGCATCCTCCTCTCTCGGAAATTACTATAAAAAATATGGCTCCGAAGAAGGAGACAACCTTGAACCAACAGCAGCCTCAGCAGCCCGTCATGGATCTCGAAAGGATAAAGCGTCACTTCAGCTGGTCGGACCCCAGTGCCATGTGAGTCACAGCCATTACATCTGCCTTAACTGCCCCCCTTAATGGTCCATAAAGTAGTCGTTAAGAAACGGAACTGAACTGAACCATCCGCTGATCATCAGCTGAAGTTCGTTGCCGAAGTCTTTCGATTTTTCCCCAGGCAAAAACAACACAAATAGTGCTTCGGCTTCGAGGTCGAGTAGCTCAAGAACGTAGCGTTTTTTTCGATTGAATAGATCTAAGTTTTATTGTTTAAGCTTTGATTTACACATTGCATAATATAACACGCGCGCACGTGTTTCGGTGTCATTTATTTTGGGAACACCGAATCGAAAAACATATTTATCAACGAGATTTGCCGATCAATGAATATTTAAATGAGCTCCACGAGCGAAAGAAACATTCGAGTGAAGTGTTTATTTGAAATCCAAACGTGAATGACACTTCGATAGGGACAAATGTCGCGCCAAATGGAGTTCGGTGCATTGCCCAAGGCTTACAAGATGGTTGCCGGGTGAAATGCAAATTTAGACAACTCATTCGGGGGGATCTGTGATCATGATCATTATCTTCAAAAGCCGGGAATGGAATTCGTTAGCTCAGTTAGCTCAGCTTGTCGCCTTCGCGCCGTGCAAATTCCCAATTTTGCAGCTCGTAATAGTCTGCACAAATTCCACGTCATGCTTATTAAGCGCTGGGCTTTAATTGCATTTATTCACATGCTAAGCAACTTCGCCAAAGTGACGAGTGAAATTTGCAATTATATAAATACGTAGTAAAGTAACAAATTCATAACAAGTTATGAAGCCAGCGATGAGCCACTGAAAAGCGGCGTATAGTGTGAAGGCTTATAAAAATAGAACCCAGGGTCGCTGGCTATAGGGCGATGGTATAGAAGTATACAAGCATAGAAGAAGACACTGTTTAGCCTCAGTCGGCAACGGCTGGCTGGCTTTCAGCACTTAGCATTTAATTCCAACTAATTGCTAATTTCAATAATTTCCCTAACAAATCCGCACAATAAATGGGCAAACAAATGAGTTTTCGAACAAATTAACGTCCATCAACGCCGCAATCAGCGTCATTTTGGTGATTTTTTTTGCAGCACATCCGGCAATCGGTCAATTTCGCACAATGTGTGAAAATTATTGTATGTTTTGCCATAATTCAATACAATTTCAGGTACAAGGGAGGTGTGTGCCTCTGCGAAAGTATCGGCTTTATGTAAATACGCATTGGTCATTCATTTATGCTAAGTTTCTTCTTTTGTTTGGTTTGGGTATGACATAATATTGGCAACACATGCGATGCTAAACAGGGGCGTAGATCTAAAGAGTGATCTTTAACTAATAAAAATAATACTATACTAATAATAACAGGCATTTTAAGTTAGTTTCTTATCATACAAGTATTTTATTTCAAAAGCATTTAAAAGAGCTATGCAGTTCACCAAACTAAAAATTTTGTTTTTACCATTATGTATTTTAAATTGATAGTTTTTAACATGATATATTTTATTTTGATATATTTTGAGGACCCCCCTCTTTGCCCATGCCCCTGTCTGATTTTATGTGTCAAATATAATCATATTATTAGCATCAAAATGTGGGCTTTGGGTCGG